TTGACACCAACTTGAATGCAATTGTAGTGGCAAACATTGATTACAACATAATTTCACATAATATTCATCTATTTAATTATAGAGACAAAGTCATTGTAACAACACATTACTCGTCACAATTATCATAAATTAGTGACAAAATTTGAAATCAACATAAATATTGTCTCAATTTAGTAATTTTTGTTACGGAATTATAGAGCGTCACAAATATTTTTAACAATTTCATCACAAAAAGTGATACTATTAGTGCCAATAATATTTTTTCTCACAATTGTTTCTCATTTTTAATGGTACTGACCAATTTTATTTTTATTGACAAAAAAAGTTGTCACAAATATTATAAACAAGAGTGACCCACAATTATTTGTCACAAAAACTACAAACATTTGTGTCCACATTATATTTTGTCACAATTACATTCGTTCCGCCATAATTATAATGCAGCCAAAATGCACATACATTTAGTGACAACAAATAGTGACAACGTATGTTATGACACTATTATTCTAGTAATAGTGACAACTTATTCGTAACAAATACTTTTTTGTCACAATTACCATACTATCCGTGCCAAAAAAAAAAAGTTATCACAATTATCTCACAGAATAGTGTCAACTTATTTTTTTGGTCACAAAAAGCGTATTATTTGTGACTAAATTATGAAGTGTCACAAAAGATTTGTCACTAAATGTCTTCATTCTTGTAGTGATAGAGATAAGCTTTCAATTTCTATAAACACTACAAACATTTACAGTTAATTACCTGTTATCAAGTTTTAAAAAAATGTGAATTGGCAGTAAAAGATTCTTAGAGTGTTTTGGTTCGCACATGATAATCGAAATGGGAATGAGAATCAAATACTTGGTAATGGTATGAGCAGGGTTGTAAAAATCCCGCCTAGGCACCGAGTAATCGGCGCCTAGGCGCTGGGCGCCCATAGGCCGTGGCGATTTCCGCCCTAGGCTCCCGCCTAGGAGACCGGCCGCCTAGGCGCCCGCCTAGCGCCTAATTCAGCCGCCTAGCGCCTAACTCGTCCGATTACGCCGAGTTAACTCGTCAATTTCTGTCGAGTTAGTCGAGTTAACCCGACCAACTCGACCTTGCTAATTTTTTTCCATTTATATTACAAATACATATAATATGACATATATATACTCGTAGACTAGTTTGATACTTTCAATCTTTGGATGATTGAAGTATTTGGGTATTTCATTTGAGTTTTTATTTTTTTAATATTCTTTTGATGTTATGACTTATGAATTGTCATTATGTCATTTATTTGGATGTGTTATTTGATTGAATGTTGAAAACAGCCTCATTAAAATTGTCAAATTGCAAGTCTGCTACTGTTTTTTTCGCGACCGCCTAGCACCGCCTAGATTCTGCCTAGGCGCCGACTAGGCCGCTTAGGCGCTAGGCGCTGCCCGGGCGCTCGACTAGCGCCCAGCGCCTACTGCAACCATGGGTATGAGTTTTGGTGAAAGTATTTTGCATGTTTGGTAATAGGATGGAATTGAAATGATTACCAATATTGATGTTTGGTTATGTATGACCTTATAGTGGGAATAAAGGTTTTAAAAATACAAAAACAAAAAAATAAGGCAATTGGTCATAATATAATGACATCCAAAGCACCAATATGAACAAAAAAATCAAAACAAAAATCTAAAAATATTAATCCAAACTTAAAAATCATATTACCAATACCATACATTTTTTAATTAGGGAATAGACTTTTTAATTGGAGGGGTAATCAAATCTCATAGTTGTGTTTTAAAAAATTGTCAACCAAACACTAACTATGACTCTATTACAATGTAGTATCTGTTCATATATTTTCTCACAAAGAGCCAATAACACTTTTATTGAGGCTCGAACTCACAATCTTTTAAATGGAAGTCGATTTGAATACCATTAGACCACATGGAAAATGTATAGACCACATTAGGTTGTCCTTTAATACATGCACATGTTATTTGTTGTACCATTTGGATGCAGAAAATGACAACAAATATACAATTTAATCCACATGAAAGAGGAAAAGGATATACCAATTAAAATTAAAACAAATATGCCACCTAAAGGTTCCTCAATAGTTGTCCAAGTAAGCCCAATGTTCCCTATGCCACCAAATGGCGTGGAAATAAGGTAAATGCCGAAATAACCAATTTCTAGAATGGAGAGGTCATCATTGGAAGATAGAGGTTTACGCTAAGCAAAAAATCTCACCCAAAATCATAGTTATAGTAGACTTTAGGCGCTAATCGAGCGGTCCAGACGGTGCTTAGGCGGTCTAAGTGGTTAACTAAAAAAAAGTCAGTACACGTGTGTGAGTGTATATATATATATATATATATATATATATATATATATAATGAAAACAATTAACAAGACTGAATCGGCCAAGTTAATTTAGCTAACTGAATCGAAATGGACGAGTTAACTTGGCCAAATTCGGCCAAGTTAGGCGCTAGGCGGTTGGTCGCCACAGCTAGGGCTGGAAATAGGCCGAGCCGGGCCGAGCCGAGATTTAGAAAATTAGGCCTCGGCCTGAGCGTGTACATAGGCTTTTTGTTAGGCTCAAGCCTGAGCCTACTATTGGGGCAAATTATATCGTGCACCGCGGTGCATAATCAATTATGCACCGCGCATCAAAATGACGTCGCTTTGTTTAATGAAAAGAAACGGCATCCATTTCCTGCTGTTCCGCACCCTTCCGCAAAAAGTAATTATGTTATTCAGTTTCATTTTGCGGCATCCGTTTCCTGCTGTTCCGCACCCTTCCGTAAAAAGTAACTCTGTTATTCAGTTTCATTTTGTATACACTGCAGTTTCAGTTCAATACAACTACAGTTTTATTTCGATATAACTACAGTTTCATTCGATATTTATAGACTCAAATATGTGAAAATGTTATTTAATTTAATTTTATATATATACACCATAGTTTTATTAAAACACAACTACATGATCATTTTGATATAATTACAGCTTCATCGTACAATATACACTCAAATATGTGAAATGGTATTCAGTTTCATTGTATATACACTGCAGTTTCATTTCACTACAACTACAGTATCATTTTGATATAACGGCAGTTTCATTTGATAATATAAAAATAATACGTGAGACAGTGCCGGTTTAGATATACTGTAGTGTCAGTTGGTAATTAACATACAAAAAAAATGCGCATTCCGTTAAAATTAACGGCGCGCCGTTTCTTTACTTAAAGAAACGGCGCCATTTTGACCGCGGTCCACGATATAACGACGGTACAATTGGTCTAGCCTGGCCTGAAGCCTTTTTAAAAGCCTGTTTAATATTTAGGCCATTAAAAAGGCTTCAAAGTAAATTCTACTTTGAACCTATTTAAAACCTACATGTTAAGACTTTTTAAAAAATTTAATAAGTATATCTAAATAATTTAAGAAATATACCTAATACAAAACTAATACATAATTACATAAGTATATCACCATAATGCAAAAATAATAGCATTAAAATATAATATAAAATAAAATAAAACAATTCACGACTTCAGCATGCTCATTAACTTATTTAGAATTAAATTCAATTGTATTATTGTTTGTTATCCTATATAATCTCATAAATAATTAACAATCAACTCACATAATTAAGTTGCAACATTTCATTAAATATTATGACGTAAGAACAGTTAATAAAAAACTTAAACAATAAAAACACTTACAGCAAGATTAGCAGCAATTTTATATTTGAATCATAATTTAGAATGAAATTTTGGAAGTGGGGGGTTGGGGTGTAATAATTATATATACTTGGGGTTATATTGTAAATATAAAAATATATATTAGGTATAAAATAGAATATATATATATATATATATATATATATATATATATATATATATATATATACACACACACATATATAGGCCAGGCCTGTAAGCCTGAAGGCCGAGTCTAGTATATATAAGTCTAGCCTGTTTAGTTTAATAGGCTTTTAAAATTGACTCAAGCCTAGCCTTTTTACTAAACGAACTAGGCCTAACTAGGCCTTAATTAAGCCCGGACATAGGCCCCTACAAGGGACCTGGCCTATTTCACGGCCTAGGGTGCGGGCGCTTAGATCAATTTTTGCAACAGTGCCCAAAACTAGAGAATGGATATCCATCATAAAACAGGTTACATAAAAGAAATAAAGTTATATATATATATCAGTTGAAGAATCTGCTCAAGTGCCATATTTGTGGTTTCCAAATTTGCCCTTGTTCATGAGTATAGAATAATCAAACATATAAATTGGTTGATGATTTTATTATCTACTGTTGTTTCTCAGCCAAACAGATGTATGGCATTTGTTGACACCAAACAAGCTGTGTTGGGACTCCAGAGTTAAAAGGATTGATAAAACTTCACTAAGGATGTATGCCCCAATTAAGCCTTTTTCTTTATGGCCAAATTATGGCTAAACAGCAATAGAATAATGAAAACTATTTAATTCATGTGATTGTCATTCTATTAGTAAAATTCAGATTCATGCATTCTGACCTTGCTTTCCAACAAGCATAAATAGAATGAGGGATCCATCTACAAAAACAACCAGATTGAGGAGGAAAGGTATCCATGGACAGTGAAACCATTTTCTTTTCTTTTCCTATTTTTTGTTTTTCTTTTGACCAGACATGTTTCATATCCATGCCCATGGATAGACAACAAAAACTAAATTCTTATGCCCCTACAGCCTTCACACCCAGTTTTCTCCATTACCAGAGCTTACCACGTACCTCACTCACACTTGCACTATATATAACTTCATCATGCTGAATTTCCAGCAGCATTCTGTCGCATCATCTCCATTACAGCAGCCCGGCGCCGTGATTCAGCCTGTTGTTGTAGCCGCCTTAGATGTTCTTTCACTTCCCTGTTTGAAAGTCATTGTTGAGACATGAATAAGATGTACTAGTTAGGAAATTCAAGACAAAGCAATTAGGTTTGTGAGGGACATTAGACAGCAACCTGCACCGTGGAACATGACATCCAACAGATTCTTGACATGCCCGGGCATGAAGCTGAAGAAGATACCACATCTTCTTACGGAGAAGACAACCCCCAGAAGCTCCTCTTTTGCACTGGATCCCATGTCGGAAAAGCCCTTTAACCTTGCGACAATTAGGATACAGGCATTTAGGAGTACGGCATCGTGAAGCATGCACCAGAAGTTCAAGCACTTTCCTAAGCTGCAGAGTCAAAATGAAAATAACATCAGACCTTACAAGTCAGAGACAAAGTCTAACATGGACTCAACTTCAATTAAAAGAAAATTAGAATGGCAGAGAAAATACATAAGCCAAAAGCAAACTTGTTAAAAGCGGTAAGCGCAAAAGCGATGCTGTATCGCCTCGCCAAGGGTTGTGAGAAAGCGAGCGCATAATCGCGCTTTTAGGTCAAAGCAGTGAAGCGGTGAAGCGGATAAAGGCGCAGCTTTGTCACCTTAAGCGCATGGGAACGGTCATAACTTTAAAAAAAAAAACAAAAACAAAAACAAAAACCTAAGCTAATATCGCGACTTGGGAGCAGCCGACACTCGCAAACCATCTTCGCCGCTTCTGTTCTCTACCTCTCTCTACGCGACTCCGACCATGGACCATCGCTGATAGCGGACTGCCGGACTCCGACCGCCTCTCCCTGCTCGCTGCTCGTCGACCGCAGGCCCCAGCCCAGCTCCCTGTCCTCCTCCTCGCTGGAATCAGCCGTTCACTTCTTCTTCTCTGTTTTTTTTTTTTTTTCATTTTCTCTTCCATAAAGAAGGAAAATATTGTTGAAGCCTTGACTTTTGACTTATAACATATTGTTGAATGGTTGATAAGTTGATTGTTCATTATCATTGTTGAACTTGAAGGCAGTAGCTAGCTGACAGCTGACTTTAAGAGTTATTTTTTTTTATGTGACTCCAGTTGTCCAGTGAGGCAATTTTTTTTTTTTTTCCTCTTCATAAATTAAGTTGACTTGTTACTTATAAAATTATTATTATTATAACTAAAATTTTAAATTCAATTACATATTTACATTGTATTCAATCTTAATTCTCAAATAATTAAATGGGAGTTTTTAACTATAATATATATATATATATATATATATATATATATATATATATATATAAATATATAGGGAAGGGATCAGGTGCATTTGTTGCTTCCCGTGCGGTGGATTAATGTGCGTGAGGTTTATACTTAATGTGCGTGAGTGTTATGCTTAATATGCCGCACAACCGCACAACCGCACGGGAACCTTTCACTATATATAGTGTCACTTTTCATGAAAAAGCAACGCTTCGCTTTGCGCTTTCGCTTTAAAGCAAAGCCCGGCCATGTCGCTTTAGTGCGCTTTTTCGCTTTAATAAGTTTGGCCAAAAGAAACATAAATGAAATAGAAATTGAAGATTTCATGAGCTGAGCTTAAATGTAATCCAAGTATTATTACCTGTAAAGCACGTAGCAGGCGCAGCCGAGCTTTTTTATTTTGTGCAGCGATGGATGGATGATTAGTCAACTTATGAGGATGATCAACTCCACCGTCCTTCTGATAACAAGCAATACAGACATCATATTCTGGGCAAACCTCACATTGCCAGCCTTGACCAGCTTCAATATCAAGATGGCATATGTTGCATATTGTCACAGATGCAGGAGCAGTATCGTATTGGTAATGGTTTCCTTGACAAAAGCTATCAAAGAAGTCGCTCTCAGGAATCTCGTCTTCATCACTTGTATCAGCAGGCACTTGATTGATTTCAACCTACACAATTACATCTCTCTTATTTCTGAATGATTAATTTCCAAGCACAATCCCCATTACAATCCCTATTTCATATTTATACTATGAAGGAAAATATCTGATAACAACTCAACAACAAACTTAACAGTTCAGGGAGTGAAACGATGTTGTTCTTATTATTACTACTTCTACCGGTTCCAATCCTCTTCTGCCTCTTGTTTTTTTACTTCCATTTCCTCGGGGTGTTCTTACTACTTGTTTTTTTACTTCTACCAGTTTCAACAGCAAAATCCTCACTAGTGTATCACAACAACCCCTCATGCTTCTCAAATTCATTTGACCCACAGATTTCTCTCCTCTTGAAAGCTTCCTTATGAGATTCATAAACAAATGTTCCATCTTCAAGCAATGCTTCATGTTTTATTTCATCAATATCTTTAGGATTTAAGGAGATTACCAACCCTGGAACTATAATCTTAAGCATTCCTCCCGGATCAAGAGTGGTTCCATTGCACAATGGCATTCTAGGACCAACATGTAAAACATACTGTTCCAAATCAACTCTCACTATTCCTACAACAGATGCATAGTCAATGTCACTCCTGGGAATTTTCCACTCAAAAACCACGTAATCCACCCCAACAATTGTATCGCAGTTCAATGAACAAGGGCTGGTAATTCTACAATTTGAGAATAGCTTCAATTTTTCCTTTAATATCACTAAGTTCCTCCAATTTATCTATTCTTATGCATGTCATTAGCAACTAAGCAAGGAGCAGCCCAGTCACTTACCTCAACTTTTGGGGCCGTCTTTACTCCATCGGAATCTCCAGCGATCTTCACATGCTCCTCCTCGCTTGGAATTTGAACGTCTTGTCCATGGATTGAAGATAACCCTGGGGTTTGATCCACCATAGGAGCGGATCTGCGGGGATCAAGAGCCTCCATCACCTCGTCTTTGAAACTGGACAGCTCAACCCTTAAGTGCTCCTGAATAGCTTGAAATCGTGTATCAATTATGCGGTTCAACTCCACCCTCTGAGCTTCCACCTTGTCTGTTCCAGCTTCCATGGTGGTAGGGTTTTGAGTTGCCATGGATGAGGGCTCTGAACAAAAGCAGAGAAAAGGGAATAGCAAACAGAATTGCAAGAGAAAGAAGAAGAAAAAAAGAATATGCAGAAGGAAGAATAAGTGCAGAGAGGGTGGAGAGAGAATTGAAAGTAAAGAGATAACAATTGATTAATTTCCAAGCATAATCCCCATTACAATCTCTATTTCATATTTATATCTGGTAGAGAATATCCCGATCGACATAGCTTCACCACGACCGAGATGTCTTTGTCCTTTTCTCTTTGTTTTTGCAGGTAACAGGTCGGGCTCCTTGTGAAGAACCCGGTCGGGAGTTGCCCGAGCGACGGTGTCGACCGCCGAGCGGTAGCCCTTTGGCGAGAGAGCTGATGAAAGACACGTGGCGACTCTCTACGACGACAGACAGGGCACCCGGGAGGATGACACGTGGTGGCTACGTGGAGGACATGCCGAACGGCTGGAATCCTGTCCCCGGCATAACGGCTATAAATACCCACAGTAGCTACAGTGTAGGGGACTTTTGGACGATCGATAGGTTGTTGCTAGAGAATCCCGACCGCAGCCAGTCGGCACTCAGAGCAACCAAGTAGATTGTACTTAGGGCCTCTACCGTGATCAATAAAGACATTTACTTGCTTTAGTTGGTCTCGAGTTATTTCATATTGCTTACGTATAATTAGCAGTATCATTTTGGCGCCGTCTGTGGGGACCCGTTCAAGAAACCAACGTCTTGACGAGCACCCGGTCTCTATATCAACATGTATCTGTGGGCACACAACAACTTTGCCGACGACCAGGCGGATGCGGCGAGCTCCTCCGACCACTATGCTACCCAACAGCAGGGTCAGACGATGGACCTCAACCTCAACCTCTCACCACCGCATCCATCAAATGCATACCCGGCCGCCCAACAGCCGGTGAATTACATACAACCGGGATACCCAACACCCGGTCTGCCATACCAACAGCAGCCGATGATGTATCCCGCCCAGTATCCGTACCCGGTCCCACCTCCGCCGTATGGGTATTGGCCAGGCCAACCGATGTGCTACACTCCCCCGGTTGGTTATCCACCATATACGCCTGCTTATACAGCTCCAGCCGCCGCCCCTCCAGTACAACCGACCGCACAGGTAGAGCCGCAGCGTCAGTCCGCATCCCGGGCTCGACGCTCGGCTCATTCGCGGTTGGGGTCGGGGGGTGCTGATGCGATGGAGGCACCAGCTCAGGCCGTCCAAGCGGAGGACCCTGAAGAAGTTGCCCGAGCGGTAGCTTTTGATCGTCTTCGACCGGAGATGCGCCAGCGTTTGGGACCCCAAGACCCGAACCGCGGGCAAGAAGACGTACAGATGCAGGAGGCTAGTCAGGAGGCTTCATCTGGGTATAGCGGGTCGAGATCTCACCGACGGCGACGTGCTCGGGATACAGCCCAAGCCGCTCAAGCTGCCGAGCTCAACGAAACCCGAGGATTGCTCTATAACCTCCAGGCGAAAGTTGCGCAGCTCAGGAATGCGTACCCTGCAACACCCCCGGTCAACCAATCGACCCTGCACCAGACGCCTTTCACAGCAGCGGTAATGGCCCAGCCCTACCCGCTCGATTTAAAGGTCTTTGGAGAGAAGAGTTATGACGGACGGGCAGACCCTGAGGCCCACGTGAATGATTTTTTCAGCAACATGATGCTGAAGGGCGTTTCAGACGCCGTGATGTGCAGGGCTTTCTACTCGACCCTCACCGGTCGGGCGGCAGATTGGTTCCGTACCCTGCAACCGGGGTCGATCGATAAATTTGAGACCCTGGCGATCAAATTTGTGAGGAAGTTCATCACTTCCAAAGTGGTGAGGAAGTCCTACATGTATCTCGAGAAGGCCAAGCAGCTAGAAGGGGAAAGCTTGACCGATTTCCTCATCAAATGGAAAGCAGCGGTCGGGGAGGTCGAGCCTATGGACGATGCGACCGCCACCCATATGCTTCACATATCTCTCCGGGCGGGACATTTGTATCAAGACTTCATCTTACACCCCCCGACCAGTTACGAGGAGGCCCTTCGGAGGGTCACAGATTATGCCAACGCCGGCGAGGCGAACGCCGTAAAGCGCTTGCAGGAAGTCGGCTCTTCGTCCCGTAAACCGGCCGGCCGGGCGGAACATCGGTCGGGAGATGACAATCCCCGATCCCGCACCAGGCCTGGCGAGTTTACGGCCTTGAACCGATCCGCAGCGGAGGCCATGCAATACGCCCAGTCCTGCAATCTCATTAAACTCCCCCATCCCGATCGAGACGGCCCTGACAAGAGTAAGCACTGTGCTTACCATCGATGTGCCGGGCATGACACCGAGGAGTGTACCCACTTACGCCAATTGTTGGAAGATCTGCTTAACATGGGAAAATTGGACAAGTGTGTGGGGAAGAGAGAGGACAACAAGAGGAACACCGATCGGAGGGATCATAGACGTTCCCATCACCGCTCTGATCGGTCAGGGCAAGACAGAAGGGACGATCGAAGGGACGATCGTCATGATGACCGACGGGGCCCTGACCCTCCGTCTGGTAGCCGCCCGTCCGGAAAGCCTACCATCCATGTCATTTTTGGTGGACTGGAAGATGCTTCCCGACCGCGGACTAATTGCCCGGTCGCAATAGTGGATTCCCGGGAGACCGGGAAGAGGCAGAAGATGGAGCCCATAACCTTCACCCTCGAAGATCAACCTAGCAGCAGTGACCACGGCATGGAGGCGCTCGTGGTCACGATTGACGTTAAGGGGACAGACGTCCAGAGGGTTATGGTTGATACGGGCAGCAGTGTGAACGTCCTATACTTGGACGTCTTTGAGAAGCTTGGCCTCGACAGGAAGGAGCTGACTCCGGTCGGTGTACCACTGTCAGGATTTACCGGGGCTCTCATTTACCCCGAGGGAAAGATAACGCTCCCGGTCGAGATCGGCACACCACCAAAGTCAATCAAGACGGAGCTGGAATTTGTTGTGGTCAACCTCCATTGCGTCCACAACATTATCTTGGGCCGACCCGCCATTATGAAGATCGGTGGGATAATTTCTATGCCCCACCTCTGCATGAAATTCCCCACCCCTAATGGGGTCGGCGTGGTCCGTGGCGATGTCCAATCCGCCCGGAAGTGTTACACCCGAGCGGTTAATAGACGTGACTCCGGTCTGTCTTCCCGGGTGAACACCATAGCCAAAGAGGAGGCTAAGGAACGGAAGGAGCAGCCTGAGCCTTCCGAAGAAATAGAAGAAGTTCCCCAATCCGAGGACCGCCCGGATAGGAAGATCAAGATTGGCCGAGCCCACACCCCCGAGCTTCGAGCGGAAGTTTTGGCCATACTCAGGGAGTATGCTGATATCTTTGCGTGGGGGCCCGAAGACATGCCCGGAATCGATCGGTCGGTCATCTGTCACAAGTTAGCCGTCGATCCCGCAGCAAAGCCGGTCGTGCAGAAGACACGACACCTTTCCTCCGATCGCCGCGAATTTGTCAGAGAAGAAGTCAAAAAGATGGCGGCGATCGAGCACATCCGTCCGGTGGTCTATCCCGAATGGGTGGCAAATATCGTTCTTGTTCCTAAGCCCCCAGCATGGAGGATGTGCATCGATTTCACGGACCTCAACAAGGCCTGTCCGCTCGACCCGTATCCTCTACCGAGCATTCACCAGATGGTCGACGAGACGTCCGGGGCCGAACTAATGAGCTTCATGGATGCCTTCAAGGGGTACCATCAGATCATGATGCACCATGAAGATGAGAGCAAGACAGCCTTCGTAACCCCGGACGGGCTGTATTGTTACCGAGTGATGCCATTCGGCCTCCGGAACGCAGGAGCGACCTATCAAAGGATGGTCAACATGCTCTTTGCCGATCTATTGGGCCGAACGATGGAAGCTTACATCGATGATATGCTGGTCAAGAGTCGGGACCGATCCGACCACACTCGAGACCTCCAGGAGTGCTTCCAGATCATGAGGAAGTACCAGTTACGGTTGAACCCGACCAAGTGCACGTTCGCGGTTCAAACCGGCAAGTTCCTCGGCTATATGATGACCAAGAGAGGAATTGAGCCCAACCCGGCCAAAGTAAAAGCGATTCTGGACATGCAACCACCTTCCACCGTTCGCGAAGTCCAGCAATTGACCGGTCGGTTGGCAGCCCTCAGCCGGTTCCTCTCCAAGCTAGCCGAGCGCGCTTTACCTTTCTTCAAGGTATTGCGGAAGGTTAATGGATTCGTCTGGGACGAAGAGTGTCGAGCGGCTTTTGATGAGCTGAAGGGAATATCTCATGTCACCGATCGTGCTCTCAAAGCCCGAGCCCGGAGAAGAGCTAGACGTGTACCTCGCCGTCTCCGATCGTGCAGTAAGCGCAGTGTTGTGCCGAACCGATCCGGAAGGGGTCCAGCGACCGGTGTACTATGTAAGCCACGCGCTACATGGTCCCGAGCTCCGGTACTCCCGGCTAGAGAAGGTTGTCTACGCCTTGTACATTGCCGCGAAGAAGTTGGCTCCCTACTTCCAAGGTCGAGCAATTCGCGTGTTGACAGATCAGCCGATCGGGCCAGTCCTCCGAACCGCTTCATCATCCGGCCGCCTCGTCAAGTGGGCGTTAATGTTGACCCAATAAGCGATCGAATACCGACCGAGACCGGCTATTAAAGGTCAAGCTCTTGCTGACTTCTTGGTCGAGTGCACCGCCCGGGATACCCGACCTCCTGAGGTTGCGGATCCCGAGGCTGAGTGGTGGTCGGTGGCTACTGATGGGTCAAGTAGCAAGAAAGGGGCAGGAGGAGGAGTGATGGTCACAAGCCCGGAAGGATTCAAGGTCTATTTTGCTCTCATGTACCAGTTCCACCCGACCAACAACGAAGCCGAGTACGAAGCGTTCATTAACGGCTTACAGTGCGCTCGGGACTTGGGGGCTGAATACATCCGGGCTCAAACCGATTCCGCCCTCGTGGTTGGGCAGGTTCTCGGAGATTATGAAGTCAATGGTGAGCGCTTGCAGCTATACCGAGACCTTGCCATGGAGAAGCTCGCTCAGTTCCGGGGATATACCGTCCGGCACATACCCCGATTGGATAACGCCGATGCAGATATCTTGTCCAAATTAGCTCAAGACGCCCCGGAACACATGTCGAAGATAGTTCGGATCTTGGTGATCCCGAGACACAGTATCCATCGCCT